GTTTCCCTCCGATGGAGAGAATACTGTAAATCACTTTTTATTCGCGATGACTTTATTTTCGCGTAATTACGCGAGTCTGTCTGCTCGCGAAAATTTTATTCTCGTGTATATTTGTATTGTTAATGTTTAAATACAAAAGAGACCACAGCCCGCGAAAATTTTGTCTCGTTAATGAACATCAAATTGCTAAGTCGCGAAAATAAGGTGATCTACAGTATATGACAGAATCGAAATCCAATTGAAACCAAAAGATGCACACAACCAGTGATACTATAAATTCTTTTCGCGGGCTGATACTTACACACAAAGAAAAAAATTTAAATAAAGAATGCAGATCGAAAAGTCATGAAGGCGGAACACATTCTAGTAGAAAACCGAGAATACTAAGGAATATTAATGTTCAGCCACCAAGCCCAGCGCAACACAAAACATAATATTGTGCTAGGTGTACTAAATTGTCGATCAGTTAAGAACAAAACTCTTTCGCTAAATGACTACATTGTGTCTAATAAACTGGATATTTTTGCAATGACTGAGACCTGGTTAGGTTCTACTATAGATGATATTGTGAAACAAGAGTTAATACCAACAAGCTATGATTTCCTTTATCTCAATAGAGAGAACCGGCGGGATGGTGGTATTGCCATATTATTCAGGAAAGAAATTGACATAAAACACCTCCCTAATAAGGAACTGGATATTGACCAATTTGAGTACATGGATTTTTCAGTATGTCTGGATAAAACATGTATCAGACTGAGTGTCATTTATAGGCCCCCGCCATCAAAAACAAATGACTTGCGAACCAGCCTATTTTTTGACCAATGGAATTCTTACCTTGATCAAACTGTCACCATCCCTCATGAGACTATAATAACTGGAGATTTTAATTTTCATATCGACGATGAAAATAACCCGAATGCTGTACGGTTTCTACAAACATTAGAAGATCATAACTTGACACAGCATATTACCACGGCTACCCATAATCGTGGACATATACTGGATCTCCTCATAACAAAATCTGAATCAACTATACTTTTAAAAGACTTAAAAGTATAGTTGATTCAGATTTTAACAGACCAAACCATCAGTGCAAGATCCAAACTTGTTCGATGCACATGGAAACTCGTTTTGTGATCATTATTCCATTCAAGCCGTGCTATCATGTAGCAAAAAAAGCGCATCAAGAAAGAAATAACTTTCCGCAAATGGAAAAATGTTGACCTAGATGAGTTATCAAAGGATATCAATCTTGAAATACCTGATACAAGTTTGCCTGTTGCTCAATTAGTTGACCATTATAACTCCACATTACGAAACGCTGTGGAAAAACATGCTCCCTTATGTACAAAATCTGTTCTACTTCGACCAAACACCCAGTGGTTTTCCGAAGAACTCGGTGATGCAAAACGCAAGAGACGCAGAGCCGAAAGAGTTTGGCGTAGGACAGGACTAGAGGTTCATCGACAAATTTTTAGGGACATGTGTTCTACGACAGCCAGACTTGTCTATAAAACCAAACAAGACTATTTTTCTCAAAAGATTGAAGAATGCGGTAAGGACCACAAGCAACTATTCAAATTGTCGAAGACACTGATGGGAAAACAACAGGAAAGTATTCTACCATCGTCGACATCTAATAGAGAGTTGTCTAACGCATTCTCTGAATTCTTCATTAACAAAGTGGCCACAATTAGAGATGGTTTTAAAGAACTTACTACCTTTAACATGGAAAGAACTATGGATAAGGATATTCCATTCAGCGGCGAGCCATTGCTGAACTTCAGACCCACAAGAAACGACGAAGTGAGAACAATTCTAGGCAACGCACCGACCAAATCGTGTGAACTTGACCCACTCCCGACGTCGATTTTAAAAAAGAACTTGGATATGCTATAGTTCCATTTATTACCAACATTATAAATATCTCATTCGACCAATCAGAAGTACCATCACTGTTCAAGGAGGCATTAGTAAGACCACTACTGAAGAAATCTGGACTCGATAAAGACGTCTATAAGAACTACCGTCCTGTCTCAAACCTCCCTTTTGTATCTAAAATTTTAGAAAAAGTTGTTGCCACACGCCTGGATGAACATCTTGACAAATATCTTTTAAGGGACCCTTTGCAATCAGCTTACAGGCCACAACATTCTACGGAGACAGCACTTCTTCGAGTTAATCATGACATCATGGAGGCCCTTGATAATCAATCATCTGCTGTAATGGTACTCCTTGATCTCTCAGCTGCCTTTGATGTCATAGACCACACAATACTTTTCCAACGTTTAGAAACATCTTATGGCATTGGTGGAAAATCATTAGCGTGGATAAAATCATACCTTACTAACAGGCAACAACGTGTTATCATTGGAACGGAAACGTCAGACCCTTGCCATCTTCAGTTTGGTGTCCCACAAGGATCCGTTCTGGGACCAAAACTTTATTGTCTTTTTTCTAAACCAATTGGAGAAATTTGTCGTCAGCACGGTTTCAAATATCATTGCTATGCCGATGACACCCAGGTGTACATGATAATAAAATCTCGTGAAAACTGGAAAAACTATTTTAAACGACTTGAAAATTGCTTGCAGGACATAGGGACCTGGATGTCGACTAATCTTCTTAAATTAAACCAGGATAAAACCGAATTGATAATTTTTACAACGAAATTCCAATCCAAAAATGTGCCAGTTTTACAACTTAAAGTTGGAGAAAGTGTCATTAACAGTGTAACGTCTGTACGTAATCTAGGCATCCACTTTGACAGATTTCTCACTATGGAAAAGCAAGTAGCGTCCATCATTAAAACGTGCAATTATCATCTCCGCAACATTGGAAGAATTAGGAGTTTCATCTCAACTGATGCGTGCAAGACTCTCGTGAACTCCTTAGTTACATCTCGACTGGACTACGGGAATAGTATAGCGAAGTAATTTCATAGGTCCCAGTGACTTCGCTATTACCGAGTTTTGCTGTAGTTGGCATAAACAAGAGTTCTGTGGAAAGGCTACAAAAAATCCAGAACAATGCAGCTCGACTTATTACAAGGAGACGAAAATACAATCACATCACTCCGATTCTCGCTGAATTGCATTGGCTGCCAGTGGAATTCCGGCCAAAGTATAAAATCCTCGTTTTTACCTACCTTGCTGTGTATGGTTTTGCGCCCGAATACTTACAGGAACTTGTAACTGTCCGTCAAACTAACCGCACACTAAGATCTGACGGAAGTTTGCTGCTCAATTTACCAAGGGTGCGCACCGGGACGTATGGTGAAAGAAAATTTAGCTATTCTGCTGCCCATTTATGGAACAGTCTCCCGGTGCATATTCGCCAATCCAAATCCATCCAGTGTTTTAAAAGAAAATTGAAAACTCATTTTTATAAATTAGCATTTGATTAACTTTTTAGATTGATCTATCTATTGAATTTTTATTTGTTTTTCTTAAACATTATATTTTTAAGTCCTTGTGACTGTAATTTTTATTCTTATTCTATATCAAAACAAGACATTTTCAATATAAGTCAAATTTTTATTTTTAAAGTAATATATGCAATGTTTTATGTACATTCTATGTAAAGCGCCTTAGGGTGATACTTTTTATTATATAGGGCGCTATAGAAATTTTTATTATTATTATTATTATTACTTTGACCTGGAAACATAGTACTTTGACCTGGAAACAGGGAATAGTAAGCGTAAAAGAAAATATTTTCCAAACTTTGATCCCCCCAAAACTTCGACGACAAATACAGATATTTCGAATTCAAACTGGAAATGTGTTGTTTTTTTTTAATTTGAATTCGGTTTTTGAGGATATATTAATTGCAGCAATGTAATGGTGAAATGCAAATTGTGATCCCAGTGTTGGAAAGCCATGGGCCAAACTTTGACCTGAATATGTATATCAAATCAAATCTGGAAATGTTTCAATTTAAATTATTTGCTACCGAAATATTCACTGCAGCAGTGTAGTTTTCATGGTGCAAACCGTTTTCTGGGTCGGTGATGGATTTAATATAAGCCTACTTCAAGCTTAAAATGGATTCTAATCGAAGGAATGATGCTTCCAAAATCTTAATCAAATGTGAAGTTGTGTCATTTAAATTCAAGTTTTGTGAATTGAAATAATGTGCATTACTCATGGATTTAAATGTGTAAAATCGAACAGATCTAGATCCGATGCAGACGTTCTGGATTAACTTATATCTCCAATTTCTTTTTGTTATTCACATGTACATTAATGCCAAGGTTTACCTGTAACTCTCCAATCTGTTTGTTTTAACTGTCCATTCTCTTTGTTTTTAACTGTCCATTCTTATTGAAAAAATCTGTCCATTCTTAAAGAGAATGGACAGTTTTCCCAAAAGAATGGACACTTACAGGTGACTTAATGGATTTTTAGGGGAGTTAGCTCAACACTAAGCTATAGAATGGACAACACAAACAAAAGGTTTACGTCACAATCATGTTTTAAACTTAGTTGATGCATCTTGGATCTTCGGAGAATGTAAACTGAAAAATATGTCACTGTGACCTTCTTTTGAAATGTTATTGCATTATTCAAATACTAAGTATTTTGGGTTCTCACTGGCTAAGAATCATCAATCTTTATCTGATGCATTTTGTGTCCTCAGAATATGTCGACAAAAAGTAGGTATTTCAAATAGTAAGTCTCTAAATCTTCGTTATTTGAGGCATTTTGGAGTCTTGGAGTATGTTTACCAAAAAGTAGGTCACTGTGACCTACTTTTGGAATTTCATGGCTATATCTAAATATTCAAGATGAAGAGGGGGCTTCGATTCATCACACTTTGTTCGTTGATTCATCCTTGGTCCCCGGAGTGTTTTAAGCAAAATGTAGGTCATTATGGCCTGCTTTTACAATTTCAAGGCTTTATCTAAATATACAGGACACTTGGAGGTTTCAAATAGAAGTCATAGGTTGTACAATTTATCAGAAGAGCGATTCAATATCATCTATGTCTCTTGTTTCATTTTTTATTGTTACACTATATCAACAGACATAGAAGGACGATGTCTCTTCAGACTCTGAAAATACACAGTGTATGTCTGAGTAATGGACTTTTACGAGAAGCGCTGACTTTTACAGTTTACGGCTTACTTTTACACTAGGAAAATGTACGGAAGCTCTTTTACGATATGAATATTTAGCTTAACATTTAATCAAATGAAAATAACGGGTAATTTCAATGCACATATAAGTTGTCCTTGAAGACAATGACAACCAACTTACCTTTAACTCTCGGCCTTTACATGCAAATGCCTCTGAAAACATTTCTATAACCATAAGAAAAGTTTTCTTATGTATTATCAATTCTGTCCCTCCGTACATGATACATTTTTAAATGTCCAAGTAAACGTCAACCGTAGAAGTCAGTGCTTCTCGTAAAAGTCCAGTTATAGCTATACAAATTTGTGAAATCAGATTTTCTATATAGTTTATCATAAATCACATTTGGCTGCCATTTTTTCGATAGCACTTCCGGTTAATCGGAACAAGTGCCAGTCCTCTTCTTCCGTTAAATCAATGGCATCTTGACGCTTGTAGTAATCAATGGAGGGTTTATTCCAACCAAGCACCGCAAAGTGGACTCTGGCACATTTTTTCTCTACAGCCGTCTACAATTAAGATATTTAAAATTATTGTTAATACACGTAGCTAAACAACGAGGTGCCATAGTTGATAGAGTGTAGATGAATGTACACGCATTGTTTATGGTTCTGTGTTTCTTTGTGACTTACCTTACAAACAGATCCCATTAACTTAGATCCGATGCCCCTCCCTCTGTACTCCGGGGACACGTACAAGTCCTCCATGTAAATGCATTTCCCTTCCCACGTTGAATAAATGTAATAGTACAATACGTATCCTATCAGTTTTGAGGAACCTACATTTTAAGTAGCAATTTAAATACATTGTTTACTAGATAACACTGTCACATGTACGTGAATATATGCAATGTTAACAACATGACATTGTATAGTTTAAAACGTACCATTTTCTTGGTTTTCTGCGACAAAGCATTGGAAGTATTTTTCATTCCCAAAGCCATCTTCACGTAATGCTATGTAGCAGTCGTAAGAAAAAGATAATACTAATTGAACACTATAGACTAAAGAAAATTAACTTTGCATGGTATTGAAGTCAACAAAATTCAGAAAAACACATGCCTAGCAAATGATTCCAATCGTACATGTAAAAGTAAATTTATATTACTTTCATTTATACAATAGATTTTTAGTCTATTTGCGTTTTATTAACAAGTAGAATAAAAATAAATTCAAATGAAAACTGACAATTCTTGTAAAACAATGATTTTTTTTCCCTTCTAATTATTAAAATATCTACTTACTTTCAACTTTCATTTTCACTTGATCCTCCATTTTTTCGTAAACTGCCAATTCCTGTCAGAAAAATATCAAATACACTGTAATTACTAAATAGCCTGTAGAATAAATGTTTTTAAGTGGGTCAGACTGAGGTCAAGGTCAAAAACATATTCCAGTTGAAAGTCTAGTAAAAAAAAAAATACACATGTGAAGTATGAAAGTCTTAGCATCAACAATTCAAAAGTTATGGCAAAGGATAAAGTTGGGAATTTTTGGTAAAAATAGGTCAAATTCCAAGGTCACGAGGTCAAATTTAATGATACCTGAAGAAAGTTCTTATCACGAGGAATGTGAAATATAAAGGCAGAGATAGCCCCACCCATTCAAAATTTATGGACAAGGTTAAAGCTTTTATTGACAAACAGACAGACGGACGGACAGGACAAAAAACTATTGTAATATTATGGACTTAGTACTTGACTGTGATATGTATGGGGGTTGGATTTCAGCTTAGTGTTATTGTTATATTATAGTGGTTAGTCACCATATAATATGCAGGGGGTTGGACTTTAGAATTTTGCATATTATCACACGCTGATGGTGGAGTGTTTTTAAGTGATGTAAAGTAGCATCCAGTTGTAAATTTATTAGAAATGTTTTATTGTTCTTGTTATTTCATCATCTTATTGTTTACTTAAATTATTGATACAATACAAATTGCACTTCGACGTTGTTATATAAACAAATGCTGTTTTTGTGTTACTAGAGGATCTAGTGAGATATTGTTGAACAGACAGTAAGGGACAGTGATACTAAGATGTTATATGTCAGTTTTTCATCATTATTGTCTACCATATTACGACTGTAATTTACTTACTTATTTCAGCATTATCACATGTGTTGTAAATTGGGCGCTTGCCATCTTTCTTACGAAGGAAGTAGTCATGTGACATAAGCATTGTTGTTTTACAATTGATAAGATCGAAGTAACACTGTCCGTGTCGTCAAATATTTATAATAGATAGTTAAATGTTATTTTATTGCAGCATTGTCATTTAATTGTTTTATTTGACGAAATGTTTTGGAACTTGAATTTATAGCGTAAGACTTATGTGTTTGCATTATTGTTCGGTATTACTACGCCGAGGATTGTGTGTGTCGGTTTTATTACAGATTGTTTGTTGAACTTAGTTTATTATATATATCGAATAGAATTTATAGCTCCTACTTTACAAAGGACATTTTGAGCGACATTATTTTCTTTGTTTTATACAATATGTACGTAAAGTAGTTTTGAGATGCTCCAGAAAGGACAATTATTCATTGGTTTGTTGTGATCACGTGACCATTATATATAAGAGCAGCGAACGCCAGTTTAACACGACGATCATAACGATCAGATCATATTACGTCATCAACATCACTGACTGTAAATTACTAGCGACTTAGGTATGAGAAAATAATGTAAACTAATACAAATTAATTAAGTAGCGTATCATTTCTCCACCGCACGGGCATCGCAATCCACTATATTTTATTAGGCCAGAGATGTTAATTAAGCTAGGACTTAGACTCATATAGATGTACTGACTGTTTTGTTATATTTCATTGAAGTTTTTATTAAATGAAATATTTGAAACGAGAAATGGAACTTGGTTATGATTTACAAGGATGTGAAGTAAATTATCAAGGGTGTTTAAATACATGCGACGGGCTGGGGATGCCCCCCCCCCTTTTTATATGTGGACGGATGTCATGAGTAGTCCTGATAAAATTTGATTGATTGAATTTACACGGGATGGAAACACTGTAAGCTGATTGGCATTTGACAGGGTGCCGAGGAAGCTTACACTATGTACACCCGAATCTTCGATTAAGCTGCGCTATAAGCCGCCAAACGGGGCATCATTGTTTCACAAACGCATCTTGTTCTTTAGTTTTCTGATAAGGTCTTTCCAGTTAAAAATAGTTTTTCGTGAAAAATGTTCGATATCCTTTCTCCAAACTACAATGCATGTTTCTATAGCCCTTCTGTCTTCGAGAGCCTCTAATAAAAGGAGAATGTATATGTTATACATCTCATCTGAAGAACACTAAGCATTCACGCTCTACTAAAAAATTGAATCATTTCTAAATATTTGGATAAAAGAGGATATAACAATCAGAAATTGAACTTATCCTACAAAACATTTGCATCTGCTAACAGAAAGATCGTTTTAAGTGACATAAATGTCGTACCCATCGTTATGGTAACAAAGTTAAACCCTTGCATAAAAAGGTACATGTATTAGAAGAAAACTAAATTTGTACGTTCAATTCAAAAGGAAAAAAAAACGTATACACTTATTCACAATTATTCTTATGGTTGCAGAGCAAACATTACAACAAAGGTGATCTGATCATAAGATCACAATGACCAATTGAAACTGAATAAAATTCAATGAAATTGACGTGTGCATGAGATGAACCCCAACGAAGGCGGGATTTTTAACTGCCTACTAAAAAAGTAAAATGGTACTTGCACACTCTAAATTGGCTGTGGTTTGTGAGCAGTTAATCAAATTCTTCATAAAGAGTGCTGGGTTCTAATAAGTTAATGAATTCTGAATGTTATACGACGATGTTACAAAAGAAGATTAAAAAAATGGAAGATACACAGCTAGGGACCAATGATAAACAATCGAAAACACAAAAAAACAAACAAATAAACAAAAAACAAAACAATAATTTGTTGTCTCATTCAAAATTTCCTTCCTCGATTCTTGTAAGTATTAGGATTTATAAATTTATCTTTTCAGTTCGCAGAACCTAATTATAAAAATCTATATTTTAAACAAAAAATTAATTATTCTCTGGCCCAAGGCAAAATATACCCCACATCTCTTTATTGTAAGCGTGTGCAAAAAATGAATAGTTAACCAGATAGGTCCCAAGAAATAGGATGTCGGTAGACAAAGGATTTTGATACAATCTCCGAATTTTTTTTTTCATAAAAGTCACTGACATAACGTTGATATGGACAATAACAATACGATAGAATTGATAGATAGAATCTTTGTTTATTTTTTTCCACTTCTATTTTGCACTTTCTTTCGTTACTTTTTAACTTGTGTTTTTTAAATACATCCTTTAAAATCAATAAAATTTTATACCTCAATTTAATCAATGTTTGTTTAATCAATTGAATAATTGCCCTTTACAGTTTCCTTACTTGAAGGAAAAACCTTTGCAGATTCGATAACGGGTGGTAAAAATAGTTCCGGTTTTCCATACCTGACGCAGCGCCTTAGGTTAGAAAAATTTTACGCAATTAATGTAATGTAAAATTATGTAATTATCTTACTGTAATGAGATCCAAAATGCCCTGACAGTCGGACTCAATTGCTTTACGTACGACAACTGACATGATTAAATATTTAAACTAGGTCAAAATGTGTCCAAGGAAAGTACGAATGGTTAAAAGTGTCATAAACATTATTCGTGAGAGTGAACGCAAATTCATTCATTACGTTATTGGTGCGGCGATATTGAGGCCTTTAATGACCTTTAATTTCATGACCTGCAAAAAAAAAAATAATAATAATAAATAAATAAATAAATAAAATGAATTAATTTTAAAAAATTAATAAAATCAAATTCTGTAAGCCATTGAAGGAAATATTTAATGATTTGAATGATGATATAATATAGGAACGTGTAGAGACAAAATATTTAAACTGATTGTACGTGCGTTTAAAAAAAAACTAGTGCACCGTTAAAAAACAGAAAGAAGCACTGTCAGATAGTAAAGATTTGATCACGTTCTTTTCAACTTCTTGCTCTTATAATATTCACTATATACGTAAATACCTGTCCTCAACAAAAAAAAAAAAAAAAAAAAAAAAAAAAAATAAATAAATAAATAAATAAATAAATAAATTACAGTGTATATGTATTAAAGTATTATAGCTGACTATATATAGAGATTTGCAGCTAGAATAATTTAATCAAAAGTCAGCTCAAACTAATACCCTGTTGATAACTAGTTAGTGCCTTGTAGAAGTTTACGACATGGCCGGAGTCGTTCCCACACAGGACTCATTTGGAACCTTAAAAGATGGAACACCTGTCACGAGGTAATTTACACCAGATTCCATTAATAACATGGTTATTTTATGCCCTAATAAATTTTAATTGTTATCCAAGTAGTTTTGATATTCATATTTAGAGAGGAAGATGTAAATCCTCTAAATTTACATTTTCTTTTCATTCTCTGTTAAATTCCAAAAATGAATGCAAAATCAGTATGTCTTATAGTATTGTTTATGATATTTTCATCATATTTTTAAAACAGGTTTAATTTTACCAATCAAAATAATGTGACCATTCGTGTAATTAATTTTGGAGCCACAATAACTGATATTCTTCTTCCGGACAAAAACGGAAAAATTGAAGACATTAGTCTTGGTTTCGATACAGCACGGGGTAAGGATATGGCACGCCGATTGGTTCAAAAGTATTTTCTTCACGACCTTAAACAAAAATTACACGAGTTAGTCAAAACTTACACAAAGCGCGGAAAATACACACAAAGTTATTGAAATTTACACACACTATACAAAAACTACACAATCAACAAAAGATTTACACGATATAACGAGAAAATTACACAAACGTAAAAACGAAAACTGCACAAGTGAGAATACAACATCGACATAATATACGACGCATCCTCATTGCGCACATTTCATTAATATTCATTAGAGAACAGATCGGCGTGGCTTGGAAGCTTGGAACGTTATAAAACAAGAGGATGAGTAATGTGTGAACAATATTAATCTTTTAACAAGTTTGGCTTTCCAGAAAGCCTGAAATGTCATCTCTTTGGTATCAATTATGTCAAAGAAATAAAACAGAAAGGGAAATATTTTAATGCAATGAATATATGGATTATTACACCTGAAGTTCCCAAATGACTTATTTGAAGCAAACTCCACCGTAAATTACGCAGTTTCTTTTGGCTGCAGTATATATTATATTGAAAGCATGGACGTCTGCGAGAGCACCCAAGGCGATTTTTGGTGAAATTTCATTCTAGCGGTCTTTGTGCTTCTGGGTGTTTACAATATACTTAAATTCAAATACTTTCCTTGAACAATATTTTCTTAACACAATACGGAATTATCAACAATAATTATCATTCATAAAAAGCAGCTAATCATTAAAGTTTTACAGGAATTAATTTAATAAATCCAATTACAGACTAAAAAATTAACATAAAATTAGCGTTGACCACTTTTCTTTCATTTTTTGCAGAATCTAATTCTAAGCTTGTTCTTTTGTGCGAGAACCAGTTTTCCCTTCGCGTCAACAAATCTACATGTATATATAGAAATCACGTCATTGTCAATTCTCCTTGTGTGGCTTAAAAATTACCAATTGAACAAGGCATAGTATTGAGGATCAATATATATACTACACACCGAAACTACAGATATTTATAAGCATCGTACTTCTTTTCTAAATTTTCCTTGGCTTTCAAATAGGCCTAAACCGAAAGTAGATCACACACTCATAAGCTAGTTCTTCTTAAAGAAAACCAGTTTACAGGCTACTTGGAACTCTGTAAAACATCGAGGACTCCCGAAAGATTAATGGAGGCTTACACTAGGACTTCACTTCCGGCATACAATCTTAATGTGTCATCTCCCGAGGGAGATGACAAAAAAGATTCGGTCTTTCAGAATTACGCTAGACTCTCAAGAATATGCCTAACGTGTTATTGCCTGACGTCACGGCGTCAGGCAGTATAAGGATTGATATTTCCAAGATCCGAAAATGTGCGACCATATCTAAAGAGCTAGATTTTGTGCACGCTGATTTACATTGGAATTCTTTACCTGCATTTTAAAAGAAACAGTTTTCAGAAAAAAGAAAAATATTACTGATGCGAAATACTGCAGTGTTTACTTCCTTTAATCTTTTTGCATGGAACAGATTATTCCATATGATTTGCCGTTTCAATATGTCCGTGTATCCTTTTTTTCTGCATTTCTATACTACTGGATCAGTCCATTTATATTCTACGAAAGGGGTGAATCGCTCTTTTCGCGCCAAATGTCACTAGTAAGCTATCTTCGCGCTTTTTCCTTGGATTGTTCTATTGTATGAATGGGTGTGCTAACTTCCATGGAATTAAAGTTTGTCCTTTTAACTTCCTTCTAATGCTTCAGAAATTCTATCTACAAGATTTATACCATTCTTTAAAACAACATATCGTATACATCAGTATACATGGTATATGGACATGTAAAACTAAAGAAATGATGTTTCTAATTTGTTTACCGATCCCGCGGTTGGTTTATTCCATAAATGGACGAGTCCAATAATAATAAACAACGTAGTTCAAGCCATCGTCTCCAGATGCATGATCTTGTTCAGATGCACACAATAAATGAAAAAGTAGTGAATAATCTTGGATATTTCTTTCTACAAAGCCTAACTATTGAATTTACTTATTTCACTCTCAATATATCATGTATTATATGATAGTGTCATCCTCCTCCCCTTTTAAGAAAAAAAAAATAATGAACACACATTACTACATGTACTGTTTACTTCAGAGGAGATAATACACTCCAACAAAATGTGTTTTTGATTATATCCATCTTTTAAAATGTTCACAATTCATGATTTGATAACAGATTTTATAATAGGTGTTACAATGTAGCTTGAAATCAATTTAGATCCAAGGGCAGATCACTCCACTTGCAGACACCCCCCCCCCCCCTTCAACTACAAAGTTTTTAAGTATGCAGTGTAGAGATGATTCTTCTACCTGTTCACTAAAATCAAGATTTCAATTACATAAAGTTCTCAAAATATAAAGTTAGGATATTTTTTAAACCCACAAAGTATTGCTCAAAAGGGTTATCACTCTTCATGCAGATAAATTGATTGATTTAGTCAGGCAAGCTTCTTAAAAAGCTGTTACTTGTATACATGTAAAAATTGACAGGCACACAATATGCATATGAATTAACATCCCCGATTAAAATATAGATAACGTTAAAAGGGGGGTGCATATAAACTAGCTGTATATTATCAGTTGCGTGTTTAATTGTTAGATTTTTTGTTTCATTCCTCTATATAGCAATATCTTTTGAAAGTTTAAAACAATGATATTATCATAGTAAAGGTAAATAAATAAAAACAGCGTGAGTTAATACAGGAGAGTTAACAACAAAACAAACTCTTCTCCTCCACTACCCACTGTGTGTACTTTAGTAATAATTAAGGATGTGGATGTGTGACCTTTTCACATCGAGAAATTCCTCCCTACTGGGATGGAATGAAAGACATGTGTACGCTAATCGATTTATAGTTATTTGACACTTCAATGATACCTTTTGATTGGAGGTTATTAGCAATTCCTACAGAGATTTTGAAGCAATGTTGCTGTCATCTGGGTTGTGGAATTTGCCCAGTGTGAAAAAGTAGTACATGTAGTCTTAAATTTTGAACAACGTGTGGTGATTACATAAATACATGTATCCATGAAAATGTAAAATGTAAAATTATACAGTGGTTTACTTATGTGAATTTCAACTTAATTTCTGTTTTTCTAGAGTAGATTATTTTGAATAGGTAAAATGCATATTTATAAAGGAGTTACTATAGTAGACAATTTAAAAAAATACATAATTTAAAATTATAATATGCAGATACATATGTAGTATCTCTTTTAAAAGGGGGGTGCCAAATAACCTAAAAAACCTTATTAACAAGCAAAAAAAAAAAGGTAAAGCGTCCAATCTCGAAAATCCTATTTCGTTGAGGTAGTGAGGCACCTTCAATTCCAATCCAGCAACAAAATAGGGGGCTTTTCAGTGGACATTTTACAATGGAAGTAGGTTCTTTATCCAAAAAAAACAACAACAACAAAACAAGGTGGGGGGGGGGGGGGGGGTTTCTATAGGCCTAATTGACGATTAATTTTGTTTTGTAATAATATAATCATGTTCTTTTTTTATAATGGCCATATACATGTATTTGGGTAAAAAAAGTAATCTTACAAGAAACGTAGTGTTTGGAAAATAATTTTAAAAATCATGAAATCGAATTTGAAATGTAAACAGCATAAAGAACATGAATTATTTGCATTTTTTAAGAGTGATAAAACGCATTCTATGACACTGCTGTATCCATTCTAATTTTTTTTATTGCATCCTATTTGTAACATTGTATGTAATATAAATGTACTTAGTAAAGCACACTGTTTTAAAAGTAATAAAACACAAAAGCGCATGTACATAAAACAAACAGGGTATATATATCCTCCTTTTTTCTGGTCCTTTTTATTAAAATGAAAACATTTATCATGTAATCGCCATTACGAATGAGGGTAACGCTCACAAGAAATGTCTTGTTTTTAATTGAGTAGTTTATAACTGAAAATATGAGATTACATGGAAAAGAATTCATAACAAAGTAGACTTAGATCTCCAACGAAACTGATATCCTGATATTTCATAAGTATGAATACATGTGTTATTAGAATAAAATATTTTTTATGTTTGGCGTTAGATGCAGGCGCGGATCCAGATATTTTTTCCAAGGGGGGGGGGGGTCCATCCCAGTCAAAAACTAAATCCAATCCCAGAAATTTCTTGACAAGAAAAGAAAGAAAGGAAGGAAGAAAACAAACTCGCCAAAACGTCAAAAATCTATTTCGTGTGGGGGGGGGGGGGGGGGGGAGAGTTTTTTTATGACTTATATTTTAACAAAAATTTAATTTTCCACATCCATTTCACACACATATTCGCGTTTCCCGGGGGGTGGGGGTGGGGGGTTCAGCGTTTTCCAAGAGGGTCTATGGTAACCCCCCCACCCCCTCTAGATCCGCGCATGAGATCTAAATACGTACGTGCTGTATACAGCTAACGTAATCCAAACGTTCTTAAACTTTAAAAAAATATTTATCCAGCCAAATGAATCTAATATAGGTATATATAATTTCCTATTCCGAGTGGTAAAGAAAATAAAATAGGTACAAATGAAAAGTACCAAAATTAATTCTACAGCTTAATGATTATAATCAGCAATAATTCTGCCAACTTCATGAAGAATCAACTTTATTAATCGATTGCGAGTGTTAATTTCATATTTATACAAGTAATTTCTGTTAAAGATGTATCTACAAATTAGAAATTTTCAAAAGCTATAGAGAGTTTATTTAAATAAAAAAACATAAAATAATTCTAACATTTTTTTTTCAGAAAATCAAGTTCCTAGTCAAACGTACTGTTTATCGTTAGGTACTTTTAGTTCGGAGTCGATTATGCATAGTATGCATTTTTTTACCCGCATTATACGATTCCTTCTTGTCACAGTTTTTGTCCGGCATCAGATAATACCTCTGTATATTGGTTATGATCTCGGTCAATATTAGAAAAACATAATATTTTCGAAAAACGTATTCTCACAGATAGATCACATGGAAACACTTCATAATTGTTCGATTGACATTAGCTAGAAATCGGATCGAGTTTTAGCAAAGAAATAAAGAAGCAAAATAAAGCACATGCCATCGTCAACGCCATTTAATTTCCATTCTCGATTACATCCAGCTAAGTATACATGAAGCGATAAAGAGTACAGAAAACCAAGAACACAATGAATATTCTATGTGCATAATAATGATATGCGCAGCTGTATGCGCAGTAAAATTGTTTGTGTAATTTTTAGTTTCCTCTGCTCGTGCAATTTTTGATTTTTGTTTCTGCATATTATACCCCTAAATCGTGCAAAAAATGTCGGATTCGTGTGTTTTTCACTTTGTTTGTGTTAAAATCTTTCAAACTATGTGCAATTTTTACCTATACGTGCATTTTTATTTTACTCGTGTAATTTTTTCATCTAGCTCGTGTATAAAATCTTGATCGTTGTGCAGAAAATACTTTTGAACCAATCGGCGTGCCATATAAGGATTATGTCCTGTTAAGTTGGATCCGTTACTAAATTTATTTATTAATCTGTCACAAAATGCCATCATTCTGTAATACATCTGTAAAAGAGTGAGATTCGGTGTCAAATGTAAAAGGTTTTTGTTGTCAAATGATATCTCTCACAGTATCATGCATAGAGAATTTATTTGCTCAAACGTTTGAATTTATTTAGATTACGAATCCCAGCATTCTTACATT